AGTCAATAATTGTCAACTTTGATATATTCAAGCAACATAAACCAGTACTGTATGAGGCTATGAATAATTTCTATCAAAAAATGAGTAGTGAGTGGGACTCAGATCCAGCGATATTAGATCTGGTAACTATTTGTTGTTACTGTAAATTACTATAATATTAAAATATAATCAATGTTATATCATTACAGCTCATTGCTATAATACTTTTCGATCCGAATAGACCTGATCTTACAAATAAAGACTATATTAAGTAATTAACAAGATAAATATAAGTTACAAAAATATAATTAAGTAATCGTACTGTTAATTTAATGATGACATATAGATTACAACAAAATATTTACATGTATTTACTTCGCCGATACCTCGTATTGCTGTACCGATCGGAATGTGTGGGCAAATCAAAGTTCATAAGACTTTTAAATTGTTTGAAATACTTGAATATATTATACGTTAAGTTCATTGAATTGCATATTGAAGAGGAGCACACAAATTGCGGTGAAATTCTCGATGAGATCTATAATAATAATAAGACAATAATCTTGGCGCAAACTTTTCATAATTTGTAATCATTTGCTAAATTTGTATATAATTTACAAAAATAATTAACATGCCTAATTTCTCAGGAATTTACTCTAATTCTAGATCTCTGTTCTGGCAATGTATAATAATTTCTGGCATAATATTGTATATTGTTATATTGTAATATTGTATATTGCCTTTGATGTTCATTTAATTACTACATTTTACACATGTCTTATCTTGTAATGTATAAAAATATTTGTAAATTAAATTTAATTAAAATATAAAACATTACTAATTTTGAATTATTTCTATGTTTTGGGGTATAATAAATGAATGTAATAATTTATATTTTACCAATTATATTTATATAAATAAAAAATTGCAAGAATCTATACAACATAAGGAAAATACTATTTTCCGTATACTACAGTAGTGAATTATACAATTTTTTTCATTGAACTTAGCCTTGAGGCTATGCAATTAGTTGCGAGTACATCCTTGTTTAAATACAAAATACACATTATGACAAGCAAAAACTTTCTATTTAAAAGTCAGCCATTTCATCATTGTATTTTTAAAATTGTTGTCAACAGTAATCACAGCAAAGTTAATTTTATACACATTATTATTATGATTGCAAATGTAGTTCACATACAGAATAACGCAAACTCCAATGAATACATAATTACATTGTATTGAAGTATTAATATTGTTTTTATATCAACATTCATTACATTCCTCGTAAATTATTATTTATTTTTATAATGTTTTTGTAAGTTATATTTTAATCAAATCAACTTAATAGTGAAATAATTATAAATTGTATTACAATTTAAGGTGTTCTGTAGTAATCTAATTGTGCACTTGTATTCTGCTGTTGTCTTAGTAACATGCTCAGAATATTATGATAATATTATTATCATTATACATTTTATGTGTGATTTAATAACATGGATAATGAGTCCACATTTTTACTTATTTTAATGTAAATTAAATTATTTTACAATTAACTAATAATGTAAACTGGTAAAAATGCCCGATAATAGAAAGTTTAACAAGACGTGTAGTGTTTGCGGTGATATAGCAGCCAGTAAGTATTGTAACAAATAATTGTATAATTTTAAACAATCATCATAATTATTATAACCGCTTTACTATACTATAAATATTAATATCGATTGTGGTTTACCTAGATTATAATTTCGGTGCAGTCAGTTGTGTGTCGTGTAAAGCGTTTTTTCCGTCGAAATGCCGTTAAATATGATGTAAATATTGAAAACAGATTTACAAAACTAAATATTTTAATAATTATTGTCTTTGTATTCACAGGACATTAGTTGTCATTTCGCAGACAAATGTGATATAACTTTATTGACGCGAAAATTCTGCCGAAAATGTCGATTAAAAAAGTGTTTTGACGTCGGAATGAGAACTGTATTTAAAAATTATTTTTAAAATATAAACTTTATTTGAATTGATCGCATGTTTTGTCGACAATTATTTAGGATTTAATGCTCTCTGAAGACGAGAAAGTGATGAATAAACTGAAACTAAAAGAGAAACGAATAAAACTGAAACAAACTGATGGTAAATGTGAAGACATCGTCAACTTCACCACCGATTCATCCAATGATTCCTCGCATAAGACAGTTGTGTCTGAAGTACCGGAGAATCAAAATCATAGTGAAGATGGGCTTGATTTCAGTGTCTTTGAGATCGAAAACTCCTATTCGGACACAAATATGACAAACATTTTAGACGTTGTATGCCAATCAGATCCATACAATTCATCACTTATATCAATACCGAGACCATTGACTGACTATAGGAACCAATTGAATGAATTAGAGGGCAATAAATTGACAGAAATACTGTTCGCCACGAATCAGATCCAGGAGCCACAAACCACTACCATTATATCCAACATTAATGATATGGATGAATATCACGTGAAATTAACGTATAAATTCACCAGGGAAATATTAAACTTTTTTAAACTAACAAACAATTTGGGGGGCTTTACTCGGCTATGTGAAAATGATAAGCTTGCCCTGGTCAAATATGGAGTGATTGAGGTTTTAAGTGTGAGATCGGCGCTAATATTTGATTCGGACACTCAGTTTTTCACTCTTAATTTAGTATGTATTCATATAAATCTATATACTGTACATACTGTATATAATATAAATGATTTATATTTCATTGTAATCCAATAGGACGACAACAACTCATTTTTACTTCATTTAGAATTCTTAAGGAATGAAAGAAATAATCTTTACGAGGCTTACAAAAATTACCTGGGTAAAATGATGCCATTAGTACATAACGATCCGGTTATTATGCATTTGGTAATTAGAAATTATTTCATTTGGATTTGTTTTTATTTTATTATTATATATGTGGTTTTTAATTTAGTTGACGGCTATCCTGCTATTCAACCCCAAGCGTCCACACCTCACTCATAAACAGTTAGTTAAGTAAGTGTTATAAATGTTAAAAAGTCGGTTCAAAAGTTTGTATTAAGTTTGTGATACTCAACTGCCTATAGACTTCAACAGCGATCATACATCCATTTACTCCAACGGTATTACCTATTGAAGTATCGCTCAGAATATGAGGCGAACGCAAAGTTTAGGGAGTTATGGGATATAATGCCAGATATTTGTGTATTAAGTGGTATTTTATGGAGGAATGGCACCGAAGCCCAACCAACCCGTATGGGACCTATACTACGGGAAATATTTGATAAAACATTATAAATAAATATTTATTTATTTTTTTATATCAATATAATTTGTAAATTACATTTTGTGAACTATGTATGAAAAATATTTGTAAGCATGACTCAAAGTAGCATCTTAATATTAATTATACAGTATTTCATTTATTGTGTTAATTATTATAATATATCGATTATCATTAATTGAATTCATGTACTCAATATTGATTATTTGCGACAAATAAGCAAACTTATTTGTCAAATTATTTTGATCAATAAATTAGTTAATTAAGATTTACATTGTAATTACTTGGCATTTAGTAATTATGCATACTATGTTGTTATTATAATAAAATAGATATTTTTATTTACTATTCTTTTAACAATATTATTCTGTTTACAGTGATAAATAATAAAAATAATTTACAGAGATTTTCAAAAATGTAATTTTAAAAAAAGTATAATTTGATATTAATGAATTATTAATTTTGATAAAAAATGTCTCAATTTTGTGTTCCGTTGAAAATGAATCAACTTTTACTGAATAATAATGTTCGGGCAGTCAATTCTACCCTTGTAATAGGCATAGCCACAAAAGCGGTATTACTTTGTTAAATTGTTAAAATAATGTTTTTAGTATATTATTTTCAAATTAGTTTAAGAGAGTAAATGATAAGACGGGCAAATTTTGTCATAATTTTGCATATATCTTACCGATAATTGAAAAATTTTTAAACATAAGGTTTGTTTATGTGATTTGTTTGTTTAAATTATAAACTTAAAATTCAATTTAAATACCTATATAATAGTTTATATCAACAGTTGTTATTTACGTGTATTGGACCACAAATCAGGTGGTAACCTTAAATCCAATGGTGTATGGACTGGAGGTATGGCTTATTTTCAAAAAAAGGTTTGCATAATATATTTTGAAATAAATTTTCTAAAATACAATATTTAATTAATGATGTTATTACTTTTGAAAATTTATTATTTTTAGCTAGTTGATATGTTTCTAGTTGAGTATGTGGTCGATATAACCAGATATGAGCTAGTAGACCTTCTTCATACGAATATGGTTAAATTATCATCTATTTTATATTCACCGCAAACACCTAGGACATCAACGGATACACTGAGAATATTTCGTATTTTCCCCATTAATATATGGCTATTAATATTAATCACATATTTATGTTTATTTATTTTTAACTCATATAAAACATCAAATATAACTACTAAATATAAGCTCTGTTTTGATTATTTGGGAGTACTTTTGCATCAAGGTGAATTGATTTATGTTAATAAAGTATATAATGTATCATGCAATATTACTATATTTTAAAGGGTTGACAATAAGGAGCTATCACTCAAAGTACTTGTTATCGATTTGGTTATTCCTAACGGTTATTGTCGTAAATCTATTCATGAATGACATCCGATCCATGATTATACTCACCAAAGAGGATATCATTACAAGTATTGATCAACTCGTGGATAGGGATGTGAATATTCTTATGATTAAAAGCAGTTACGAATACAAAATGATGAAAAATGTATTTATATTCTTTAATATTATCATGGGAAGATTTATATAATTTTTTGGTATTAATACTATTAGCAATCGTGGGATTTGGTGCAAAAATCTACTATCCTATTTAAGTCGTTCACTGAAATGCCCACGGTGAACACCATGCTGCAACTAAAACACACACGAAGCGCTGTAATCATGGACAATTGGTCCACGCACAATTTAATGACATTTTATAACGAGTTTGGTTTGCGACGAACTGATGGAAATGGATCTATAGTTTTGCTGGGATTACCTATTCATAAGAGTCTTAATCACGTCATTAAGCGCAAGTTAAACGAATTGTAAACCTATATCCTTTTAATCTGATAGTTGTATTAAATTGATCAAGAATATTTTTATGTTTAGGTTCGGACGACTACATCAATCATTAATATTGAATCAAAAGTATAAAAAAGATTTGTCTTACAATAAAATGCTTAATAATAATACCATTGATGACACTGACATTCAATGGTCCCTCGATGATAGCGACACAATATATAGGTTCCAGAACATTATATTTATAGTATTTATATCAACTATATTGCTAATTATAGGCATTGTTGTTTTAATTGTAGAAATAGCTTATTATCATAATTATTTTATAAGATTTATAATTCAAATACAAAGGCTAAGTTTATTTTTAAAATAAAAAATTAATTGTTTTTTACATGCATTTAGTATTCCATAGAAAATGTATTGTTCAATATTATTTTATTAATAAATAAACTAAAAAATGGTCATTTCATATAGAAATTGCTTATAGTAGGTATTTTGAATAAATCATTACTAACGTAACTAAAACATAAACAGGATCTAATTGATAGTATATTAAATAACCAAATGTCAGACATCACCAACTAACTGTACCAATTATGAAACTACGGAGTTGAAAATGTTTGATTTAAGATTAACTATTGTAAAATGGTATTGATAGCAAATTTTTGTACATTGAATTAAAATCCATATCACATTCATTGTCAAAACCCTACATAAATATGAACAGTATATACTGTACTACAAAACAATTACTGTATAGTATATAAGTTTATACAGTATAAAAGATTTTTTGTTAAAATGCAAAATATAACAGAATTGACTTTACTAGTAAAATAATTTATACAAACATAATACTGAAATAATCTGAAATAATATATTGAATGACAACAATTTAATTTCAATTGTAAGAGTAAATATTTATTACCGTTATGATATTGTTTTGAAACATTGAGTAATTTATTAAAATAATTATAGTTAACAACTATTCTGCGATTCATACCAAACCATCCAGACCTCATACATAGAGATACAATTAAGTTAGTATTGTTCACATCTACAATAGATTTACAGTTTACATTTTATAGTAAATATGTTTTTGAATAACTTTTTCAATGACTTCATCAGAAATCATACATTCATTTACTTCACCGTTATTTCCAATTAAAATACCGTTCAGAATATGCGGCGAAAGCAAGACTAATGAGTCTAATGAATGTAATGCCAGTTATAATTAATATAATTAATATAATTGTTTGTGTTTATATTTTGGGATAGGTTGTAATACATTTTAAAAAATAAAAATACATATTAATAACAAACAATATTGTCTAATTTACATGCAATCCCATAGGTGTGGTGTTAATATTGGGTTTAATATTATTTTAATCAAATCATTTATTGCAAATATTAGGGTTATGCAAAAGTTTTGATAGGTAGAATATAATCAGTAAAAGTTCATTTATTTTTGACCCAGATAATTTAAATAAAAAATATAAATATGAGAAACATGGTTTTTAAACCTATATAGCCTGCCTAAGTTATAATTTTATGTGAGTACCGGTATCATAACACAGGTAGTTTTTGTAAAATGTGCTATAACTCAAAAACTATCAGGCTTATCTCTGCAAACGATACGCCATTTGAAAGAGAATTAAAAATTAGGAAATACATTAAAAATTATTTTATCTATATATCAATACCAACAGGACAGGGAGGGCGGGTAGCTTCAAAAAATTGATTTTTAAACAATTATAGAATTAAGACTATTAATGATAGAGAAAAGTTGTTTGGTGGAAAATGTGCAGGATTAAATACTGTATCGATCGAAAATGTTCTGTTGATTTAGAGCACCGGGAGGAAAGGGTGTTTTTATTAATATTTTTATAAATGGACTTATAAAATAAGTAATTAGTGCATCGAATAGAGCTAAAACAACTAACAAATAATGAATTTTAAATTTTAAAAATATCTTGCTATATAACATTTATAGGGCATTTTAAAGTTCCATTATTTATTGTTAATAATTTTTGATGTATTTCCTAATTTTTAATTCTCTTTCGAATGGTGTATCGTTTGCAGAGATGAGCTTGATAGTTTTTGAGTTATAGCACATTTTACAAAAACTACCTGGGCTGAGATACCGGTGCTCGCATAAAATAATCAATTAGGTAGCTTATTGAGGCTTTAAAACCATGTTTCTCATATTAAAATTTTTAATTGGAAATTTATGGATTTTAAATACTTTTCATAAATTTAGTAATAAAATAATATTTTTAATTATTTCCATAAAAGATCTTTAACAATACATGGCAATAGTATATTATTATTATTTAAATTATAATGTAATTAAAAATTGAAAAATCTCTTATAATCAGAAATTTATTTTTACATTATTAAAATTATATTTAATTAAACTATAAATATTTTTTATACCGTATTAATAATCTTTTGTTTACTAACGATTAGTAGTGTTACTATTAATTAAAAACATCTATTAAAGAATGACTACATTTTTCGTTTTATTTATATTGATATTTATTTAATTTTATGTTTGAATTGCAATCAAAGGATTAATTTTATTAAAAAAATAATAATTTGCATATAGTTACTGTATTTAAATATTGTTTAAATTATTTACATTAATTTATTTTGTAAATACATCAAATAACATTTACTTACGAGTTAGTTACAGTTAGTGTATTTTCAATATACTGTATGAATATTGCTAATAATTTATATTTATTAAAAAAATAATCAACCACGTTTATAAACTTCTAGTAAAGTGTTTGTAATGAATAATATCTATGAAAAATATCTCATTAAATAAATGTTATTCTAGATTATTTTGGTTGCCATATTATGTTTGTTAATATCTTATAATGATTGATTACAGCGCTTCGTGTGTGTTTTAGTTGCAGCATGGTGTTCACCGTGGGCATTTCAGTGAACGACTTAAATAGGATAGTAGATTTTTGCACCAAATCCCACGATTGCTAATAGTATTAATACCATAAAATTATATAAATTTTACCATGATAATATTAAGGATTATAAATACATTTGTCATCATTTTGTATTCGTAACTGCTTTTAATCATAAGAATATTTACATCCCTATCGACGAGTTGATCAATACTTGTAATGATATTCTCTTTGGTGAGTATAATCATGGATCGGATGTCATTCATGAATAGATTTACGACAATAACCGTTAAGAATAACCAAATCGATAGCA